TTTAAGCTCTTCATTTCACATTTCCATCATGTAAAGTACCTTAATTACACAATCCTTTTCTTTTCTAATTAAATATTGTCTTCTTAAATGCTCAGGAGCACTTAATACTTTGAACTTTGGGCACGTAAACAGTTTCTTTTTCCTTAAAGGGACAGTAGTATTTTAAAAGAGCTACAGTCTAGTAATTAGAATGCTGAGTATGCTGGAGGCCTTTTATTGCTTCCATCTGTTTAAAAATAATGCAAAGAAGAAATTGGAAACAAATCTTTAGGAGACTGTAGGTTGTGTTATGGAATGTACCTTTTTTTTAAAAAAATGAAAGCAGATTATCTCTTACAGGTACTTAGTTGTGCATCTGTGATAATTTTTATCTGTCGTTGATAGATCTTTATTATGTTTTTGTGCTCTGTCATATGCATGCGCACACATGCATTTTTTAGCACTTTAAAAATCATTATCGTTTTTAGAAATGGTTTCTCCTTTTAAAGTACACTTCCTTTTAAGGAATGGCCTCCTATTCGTGTAAGTTTACCAGACAGGTAGAGATTAATCAGTTACCTTTCCCGCTCCTTCCTTTCCTTCCTTACATGATTGTTTCAATACCTATTATATGGTTCACTGACTTTTCAGCAATGAACAGAACTAAATTCCTGCCTTCCTAGAACTTGAAATCTACAATGGGAGACACTAATAAAACGTGATTAATATTATGCAGAGAAAGGTAAAATAGCTTAAAGGGTATAGGAAGTGATGGGAAGAGTGGCTCCTTGTTCTTAGTCCGTTATGGGAAGTCTCCTTGAGGAGAGGGCATTTGAATAAAGACCTGAAGGAAGGGAGGAGTACACATGGCAGTCAGAAGAAATGGTGCATGCGACCCAGGGAAGAGAAAATCCAAGCCATGAGATGAGAGGATGCCTGACTTCTGATTTGTTGTAGGAGCAGTAGGAAGGCCACTATGGGCAAGAAAATAGCAAATGATCTCAGAGAGATGATGAGGCAGGTCATATAAGGCCCAATGGGCCAGTTCAAGAACTTTGCTTTGTATACAGGCTGAGAAGGAAGGAAAGGCAATAGAAGACTGAACAAAGGAGCGGATGGTATTTATTATTCTTAGGTCTTAAAACCAAGATCACTGTTAAGGATAGATTTTGCGAAGGTAGGGTAGAAGTGTTGTGTGAAAGCACGTAGCAGCCTCCCTGAGCTTTAGCAGGGAAACAATTACAGAAGGAGGTAGGTGTGGGGATGGCAGAGGTGGTAAGGGATGGTCACGGTCTGGGTACATTTTGAAGGTGAATCCAAAGATCCTTGATGGAAGGAATGTAGGGTATAAGAAAGAGAAGAGATAGCAGAAATTCCAAGTTTCCTGATCGGAGGATTAGAAGACTAGAGTTTCCATTTATCAAGATGTGGAAGATTGCTAGAGGAAAAGGTGATGAAAATCAGGGCTTTGTTTTGTACATATTAACTTTGATAATAGACTTGTAAGACAGCAAACTGTAGATATCTGGTGAGCAGTAAGATGTAAGAACCTGAAGTAAGGAGAAATGCTGGAGATGTTAACTTGAGAGGCGTGGGCATTGAGGGGGTATCTAAATTTACGAGACTGGATGAGGTCATGAAGAAAGTGAATGTGGATAGGAGAGAGAACAAGGAGAAGATAAGTCTTCCCAAAAACCAAGAGAGGAAAAAAGAAACAAAAAACCTAGGATGAAAAACTGACTCTTGCAGTCTTAAAAATAATCATCACTAGTATGTTCAAGAAATTTAAAGATAAGATTGAGAATTGTATCAGAGTCCTAGAAACTACAAAAACAAATGGAAATGTTAGTACCAGAATATAAAATAATAAAAATAAAGTGCCTAATGGATGGGTTCAATGGAAGATTAGGTTGACTTAAGATAATTAGTTAACTGGAAGGTATGTCATGGAAATCTAAGGGACATACAAGATGTGGTAGACAGGTCTGATACCCAGCAGAGAAATAGATATATTTGAAGAGAGAGTGAAATTAAAAAAAAAAACTCATAAAAGAAGAATGTTAATAGAATTTGATCTAGAATATACAGCATTGAGAATTTTTTTTGAGGAATTTTGTATAAAAAGGAACTGAGAAATGGGGTAATAGCCAACAGGACCTGGGGGAAGAAAGTTTTTGTTTTTTTTTAATGAGGCCAGTCATGGTGGCGCATGCCTGTAATCCCAGCACACTCGGAAGGCTGAGGCAGGAGGATCACTGTGAGTTCCAGACCAGCCTGGGCTACATAGTGAGTTCCAGATCAGTCTCAAAAACTACATAGTGAGACCCTGTCTCAAAAAAAAAAAAGATATTAAAGCACATTTAAGGAGTATGCTGATAGAAATGATCCAGGAGAGACTGTTGGTATAGGAGAGAGTGGGGATAGCTGTTTGCTATACTATTGTAGCTCTTTCTCCATGATTTAAGATGCTTAGATCTTACTGCATCTTATATATCTTAGAGCTGGCTGTTTCATAAGCATATTATCAAAATTATTAACATGTCCTTTAGAAGATAACATTGGCTAGGATCTAGTGGTGAAGATAATGCTAACATTTCTGCATAACTGCTCCCAAATCTCTATTTAGCTTTAAATGGTGTAATTAACAAGGAAATTAAGCCTGCTATTAAGAATATTATTTCTTGGCAGAAAAGTATTTTAAGTTGTATAATTCTTACTGTCATTGATTTGCTCTAGTATTAGTAGTATATTTAGGTAACATCTCTCTTATCCCTCACTTTGGTGAGCCTCCTAATCCCCAACCCCAGAGACCAATTAGATCTGGAGATAGCTACTTAGTACCTCTGGTGATGTCTTTAGTGACATTACTTGAACTCTAGAGTTAAAACAGCCAACTTAGAAGACAAACTGCTGAGATTTGAATCATGTTTTCTTCACTAGATGTAGAATTTTGGGCAAGTTAATCCCTCTGAACCTCAGTTTCTTTATCAGTAAAATGTGTGGGGATGGATTTCTATTAGTGCCTATTTTTATTGGAAATACTGAATGTGTTAACACACACACATGCTTCTAAGACAGTACCTAGTGTATAAAAAATATTAAATGTTTCTTGCTACTATGGCTGGTTCTGAGAAAACCAATCAGAAGTAGAAGAGTGATTTTTACATTGGCAGTGGACAAGAGCCCCATTGGAGGTTTTAAAAAAACACCAATTTCTGGGTCCTACTCCTTGAAAGTCTCATTTAATTGTTCCAGGTTCAGGTCCCTAGACTATTAGTACTTTAGTGCAAATAAAAGCAGGTCAGGTATTCTAGTTTGTACTCAAGGTCACGGCGGTCTAAGAGGTTATTAATCAGTTATTCAACATATCTCCACCCTTAAAAATCTTTGTTCTAGTCTTACATCCACTGACTGGGTTTATAAATACATTTTTAGTTGGACCTTTAAGACTTGGTTGTACTTTTATTCTAGATGGTTTTGAAATGTACACGATGGTAACAATGTTTATCTGTACAGACCTCAATCAGTTGGAAAAGGTATATCATTCCTTTTTCCCAGTGTCATATCTGATTTTGCTGTGTGATTCCCTCTTATGGATCCTCTCTGGGAGAAATTGCACAAATCATACCAAATGAATTGTGCGATATGCCAAAAATAAAATAGAATATTCATTCCCGCACACTTGCTTTTTATGTGACTTAAAATGTATAGCTTTTGGGACAGTTATCACATTGTCTCTACTATGGCAAGGAAAGCTAATTTAGTAGAGAAATTGGCTGGAGTGTCTCATCTAATAGAAATAAACACAAAGCCACTTTAGTGTCTCTTCTTTTCAAGGATTGCTATTTTTCCATAAAATTTACAAGCCCACAGATTGATGCAGAGGCTCCTATAACTCATGGGGCTGTGACTTTATAATTTTAAATAATATTTTCCCATAAATTAATAGCAGTGAGAAATGTGAGGCCATTTTTAAATCACAGTATGCAAATGAAATTTTGGTATAAACTTTTGGCACAACTAATAAAAGGACCAAATGAGTAAACAGATATTTATAATGAAGTGTAGTAAAAGCTAGGGCAAGAATAAGCATTGGCTTGTGTGAAAGCTTGTAACAGGGCAACTGACCAGCCAGTGAAAGAGGGAACATGTACAGTGAGAGAGGCAGGGTGAGTGGGTGTGTCCAGATGTGAGTGGGTGGGGGCTGCAGGGGAGAGCCCCTTACTTTGGGCTCAGGGAAGGAGCTTACACTGGGGTCATGGAACAGTCCTAGGAATTCTGATCGTCACTATTTATGCCTATCTTGTGTGATTGATTACTCATAGCACTCCTTTTATTAAAAAATGAATTGGTTTGGACAATAAATTATGCATATAGTTCTCCTATCCATGGTTTGGGAATGATACAAGGAGTAGCACAAAGTTACTGATGATACAAGAAAATGTATAGGCCTCTGGCTCATTCCTTGTTCTCCTTTCAAATGACTTTTCCTTCATACCTGGCTAATTACTTCATGCAGAAACAGGGTCAGCCCTCCATATCCTTGCCTTGCACACACTTGGATTTAACCCACTGCAAATCAGAAATGTTTGGAAAAATATTGTACTGAACATGTATGGTCTTGTTCCTGATCATTCCCTAAACAATACATTATAACTATATGCACAGCATTTACAGTGCATTAAGCATTATAAGTAATCTAGAGGTGATATACAGTGTATGGGAGGATGGGCGTAGGCTACCTGCCAACACTAAAGCATTTTATAAGAGATTTGAGCATCCTTGGATTTGGTTCTTTATGGGGCAAGATCCTAAAGCCAAACCACCCTAGCTAGATATGTAGGGCTTACTATAGTGGTTTATAGCCAGTATACTACTGAAATATAGCTGCCAGTGTCTTGTTCTTCTGGGGGAAATGTTTCTTCTTTTATTTTTTAAAATTCTTTTCTATGAAATACAGGACCATTTTAGGATATCTCATGATCTTTGCCTCTTAGCACTTTTTTGTTGTTGTTGTTAATTCTTGTCTTCTTCTTTTCTTTCTTCTTTTGTGACCTGGGCGAGACCCCCAAATACTGACAGCAACATTATCTAATGGAGTGACCTCCAGTTAGCAGCCACAGAGGCATGATTTATCTCCAGTTGTCACCTAGTTATTCTCTGCCCTTGTTGATGGTGAGTTCCTGCTATGCCACTTAACACTCATGCCCACTGACTTTTATTTTGTTATTCATTTTACTGCAGACCAATTGAAATCCTGGGAACACTGACTGTTCACTTAACACTTCAGTCTGTGGAATGGAGTGACTGCCACGATAATTTGTTCTCCAGCAAATGGTATATTGTATTTACATGGTCAAAGTGCAACTCATTTTTACTTATGCATCATAAATTAAGTGTTAAGAGCCACTGTTTGTCAAGAGTGAGATTAGTTTTTTTTTCCACCTTTAATTGAGTTTATTGGTACATTTTAGGGATACAGTACAGTTACACTCATTGTTGGGATGTTGTACCTCTACATGACAAGTCTTGGTTCTCATTTTTTCCCCTTGTCCCTACCCTCCCTTCACCCCCTCCTTCCCTCCCATCTACAACCATTTTATTTCGATCTTTTCATTATCTCACATTTTTTTCTTTTCCCTTTTTACCCTTCCCCTACCCGTCCCACCTTCCCTACACCTTTAGCTCCTTTCTTCCCATTTCTCAATGTCAGTAATCTTATTAGGATCTTCTGTATTATTGTGGATTATTCACACCAGAGAAACTATTCGGTATTTACACATGTGTGCCTTATGAGACTACTTTTTAAAAGAATGGCATTATGGAATTTGCTTTGACAATTGGTGATCAGATTTCATGAATTGAACTTCATGTTGTTTAAATTTCCCAAATTAGGGTATATGTTCCTCTTGAAGTCTGAAGAGGAGGTGATTCTGTGGGACCCATGAGTTGGCCCATAGAGTGCAGTGAAAACTGTGCTAACTTTGAGTGATTTCATCTTACAACAATAACAATTTAATGCCAAGGAAGAGTTAGTATTATAATTTCTAGCTTTGGCTTTATATTTTCCAATTAGGCAAAGATACCCATGGTCAGGAAGCTTGACGTAGTTAATTCTAATTTTTAAATGAATTTTATATGATTTTTTATGCCGAGAAGTCTTATTTATAACCTTGAGTGCTAATATGTCCATAATTACTTGGTTAGACATTTTAGTGTCCTTACTGGAAAAAAGTATGCAAGACCCTAGGAATCACATCTCAAAACTTAGCCCTACTTATTTGGAAAGGGTTTGGAAGATGGCTTTGCTGTCATTATAAGAAAGGACTGGAGGGCTTGTAGGGAGATTATTATACTAGGACTGTTTTAGAAGGAACTAAGAGCTTGGCTCCTGTCATAGTTTGAGTTCCCTGCAAAATGAGAGTACCCTCCGTAGAATGGGACCATAGCAGTACCAACCCCACAGTGATTGTGAGGTCTGAATAGCAATTCATAAAAGTGCTTAGAACAGTGACTAACACAGAGAAAAGTCTGAACTATTATTGATTTGTTGTAATTTTGTTGAATAGAATTCTCAGGACATCAGACTTACTATTTCAGCAAAAATTGTTCCTGCTTATAAAATATGATTTGCTTAAAATTTAGAGGAAATAGAAGAAAGAAGCCTGAGGAAGGAGGAAAGCCTTGCTGAATCTGATGGGCTTCTACTGGTTGCCTGGAGAACAGAAGCAATGGAACTTAGCAGGGCCACTGTAGCACTGAGTGGGGGAATCCAGCATTAGAGGAATCTGAATGCTCCCCTAGGCTTGCTGAAGGAAAACAGAACTCAGGAAGTATTCAAAACTCTAAGAAGAAGAGGCTTAGTGGATAAAATGAGAATGCAGCATCCACAGGGCTTGTTGCTTTTTAAAAATATAATTCCAGTGCCTGTATAAGAACTCAGTTAGAGAACTGTTGGGTGAATAAGCCTCAGGGAATGTCCCACTTCTCTAGCATCTAATATGTCTCATCTCAGGCTTACTTTCCCAGGAAGGAAGCTAATCTTAACAAGGTAGAAAGACAGTCTTCTCAGATTGTGTCTACGTTTGTGTGCTCAGGCTGGGCTACTACCCAAAGCCTCACAATCTAGAAATGTGGTAGGGCTGGGGATTTAGCTCAGTCATTCTGCTGCCTGCCTCACAAGAGCAATGCCCCGAGTTCAATCCCCCATACCAAAAAAAAAAAAAAAAAAAAAGGGGGGGGGTTAAGAGTGGGTGCTACCGGTGGTGGCAGAAAGCTACATCAATTTTAACTGTTGAGATAAAAATCACTTGTAGTGAAAGGTGCCATTTTTCACACAGATCTTTTCTCTGTAAGGCCTTACTATAGTTTGGACCTTACCTTCCTAAAGCACCAATGTTTTAAAGCATCACTGGAAGGTGACGGCACCTTTGAGAGGTGGGGCCCATTGGGAGGATCTGTAGGTCACTGGCAGCATGCCCTTGAAAGGGATTTTGAAACCCCTTGTCCTCCCACTCTCCCTTTTTTATTGCTTCCTTTTGACTATGGGGTAAGTGGCTTTACTCTACCATGTGCTCTCACCATGTAGATCCAAAGCAACCAAGTCAATGGGTCATGGATTATGTGATGATCAGGCCTAATTAGGTCAACTTGATTGGCTTGGGAGCTGCCTAGAGGATTAGAAAAGTACCCTTCTGGGTGTGTCTGGTGTCTGGGTGGGTCATGGAGGCCTGACTTTGGGTACTATGTATGATTCCTGACCCCCTTGTCTGTAGCACCAATTTCTACCTCTGCTTCCCAGCTGTCAAAAGTAAGTATCTTTGCTCTGCCACACCCTCTGCCACGATGCTTCTACGTTAGACTCAACAGACCATGGATTTAACACTCTGAAATCACGTGCCATGTTAAATTGCTTAACTTGCGGATGTCAGGTATTATGTCTCAATAAAGGGCAAATTGACCAATACACATTGAAACCTCCAAAGCTGACAGAATGAACCTTTTGTCTTTATAAGTTGATTATCTCAGGTATGTTGGTATAGTGATGGAAAGCTACATGGCAAAAGCAGATCTGGGGTTGTCTGGAGTGAGATCAGAGTCAGGGATGGCAGCTGTGGGAGGGGGCAGCTATGCATGGCATGCCAAGAGTGGTGGAGTGTTGCAGCACTGTGGGTGTACAGATCGTTTCCCTTGGATTTGGCAAATGGTGATAGCAAGGAGAAAAGCCCAGGAAAGTAAGACAGAGTCCAGGCTGGTTGGTACTGGCTTGGGAAGGTGAGAGCGTGGATTTGAAGCCCCTGGCTGGAGAGGGTGTTTGAAGTGCTGCTCTGCAGAGGCCATTCTAGAGAAAAGGAAATGACTCGGGGCCTGGAGAGCTCTGCAGTGCCAAGGAGAACTGACTCTGGGCTGAGAGGGCTAGAAGTACAATGAAGGGCCCAGAGGAAGAAATTGTGCCTTTGATCTGGGTCACTGGATATTGACATTTGAAAGGTGATGTTTGATTTGAGCCTTGAATGAGGAACATGAGTGTTCCAGGAGAAGAGGGGGCAAAGGCCAAGTGTGAGGGCAAAGCTGATCTCCTGTATGAACTTGAATGTGCATCTAGCATTCAAGGAATAGGGAAAGGTGAGGAGAGATGAGTTGAGAAGCCAGGTTGCTGAGGGGGCGTTCAAGGATTCCTAATGTCTTGATCAAGATTTGGTGGCTTACACTGTAGAGCTGGGGTGAATCCCAGGGAAGGTGTCACAATTAACCTTCTGCACTTTGTGGTTATAAGTTTTGTGAGTCTATTCTGGAGGATGACAGTTCTGTGTGTCCTCATCTTAGCTGAATGGAAATTCAAGAACAAATGTCCCAAGGTCAAGTAGAAATGGCTCTTGGAGTAGCTATATTTTGGATTAGTCATAGCTCTTGTGGACTTTTCTCCAGTGGTATAAATAACTGCTCCTTGATTAGTGTCTGAGTTTAAAAAAAAATATATATATATATATATAATTAAAATACATTAATTTTCACTGCTATCATAATTTGTAAAAAATTTTTAACTTTCAGTGTTGATTTGCTTTCTCTTGGGTGGATCATTTCCTTCCAAAGTTTGTAATAAATCAGAATCTGGAAGTCATTTAATTATGTTATCTGGTGAACATACACTGTATTATATTTTGGATACACCCCCTCACACACACTTTACAAGGATGTTTTAGCTGGAGAATTTCACAAAGCTATTTTTAATTGAAGGCATAGATATATATATTGAACAAGACATTTTCTTTTCATTGGGGATTCTAGCAGCATATCTCACTAGAACTGTTTTGTATTAACTTTCTTATAAGAACAAGCAGAAAGTTTGTTCCAAAAAAGGTGAAGGTCTATGATTAGGTGGTCAGCTACAGAAAGTAAGCATGAATTTTTTGCTCTTATATAATTGAACAGGCGCAATAAAGATGTTATTTGAAAATTTTTTAATAAACTAAAGACATTACTCATATATTGAAGCTTACCTGAGATAGTCTGTATTCATACCACTCGCAACATAATTATTTACAGCATCCCTCTTTTATTCTATTAAAGTGGCTCAATTTGAAAAGATTTTTATCATTTCACCCATACATAAGGCTATATCTGGGGTGATGCAACCATTTTTACTTTTTATATTGCTGTTTCAGCTTTGACCAACTGCATTAGGGTTTTGTTTTTTTTCTCCTTACATTTAGTATGATAACATCCTTGCCATTTCACAGTCTTTTTCACTTATTGAGCTCTATTTTCTACATTGCTGCGCAGGTTTTCTTTTTTAATTGCTACTGTGTTAGGAATGTGTTTAGCTAAAGCCCAACTAATAATGACTTAAATAATAAGGAGTTTGTCTGTCTCACTTGACAGGAAATCAGGAGATAAATGGCTTAGGGCAAGTGTGACTGCTCTGGGATGTTATCCAGGACAGACCTTGTGTTCCTCTTCCATCATCCTTGGGTAGGTGTTTTATCCTCTCCTCCACCTTCAGGTGTTGTAGTGGGAAGATGGAGGAGGGGCCAAAGACCAAAGGGACCCTTGTCAGCTAAGTCTGTCCTTTTGTAGAAATTTTCTCCTAAGAGCCATCTAGCAACATCCCTGATTCATTGACAGAATGGGGGCCTGTGTCTACTCCTCACTGCAGAATGTCCGGGAAACTTTCA